TGTTTCTATTGTAGTTAGAAAAGATGCTTGATATTATTTCACTCCTCTTACATTTATGAAGACTTGTTTTGTAATCTAACATATGATCTATCTTGGAAAATGTTCCATGTGCACTTGAGAAGAACATGTATTCTTTTTCTTCTGGATGGAATGTTCTGTGCGGTTGTCAATTCCATCTGGTCTAACATGTCATTTAAAACAAATGTTTTCTTTCTTTCTTTTTTTTTTAAATGTTTTATTTATTTCTAGGAGAGAGAGAGAGAGAGAGACAGCATGAGCAGGGGGAGGGTCAGAGAGAGAGGGAGTCACAGACTCTGAAACAGGGTCCAGGCTCTGAGCTGGCAGTCAGCACAGAGCCCGATGCGGGGCTCGAACCNAGTCACAGACTCTGAAACAGGGTCCAGGCTCTGAGCTGGCAGTCAGCACAGAGCCCGATGCGGGGCTCGAACCCACGAACCGCGAGATCATGACCCAAGCGAAAGTCGGACGCTTAACCGACTAAGCCACCCAGGCGCCCCAAAACAAATGTTTTCTTACTGATTTTCTGGCTGAATTATCTACTACTTGATGTGAGGGTGTTAAAGTCCCCTACTAACATTGTAGTACTGTCTATTTTTCCTTTAGGTCTGTTAATATTTGCTTTACATATTTAGGTGCTTTTATGCTGGATGCATAAATATTTGCAAATGTTGAATCTTCTTGTTGGATTGACTTTTTATCATTATGTAACACCCTTCTTTGTTTCTTACTAAAGCATTTATCTTAAAGTCTATTTTGTCTAATATAAAGTATTGCTACTCCAGCTTTCTTTTGGTTTCTGTTTGGATGGAATATCTTTTTCCATCCCTTCATTTCCAGTCTGTCTGTGTCTTTATATCTAAAGTGTATTTCTTACAGGCAGCATATAGATGGGTCGTTTTTAAATCCATTCAGCCACTCTGTGTCCTTTAAATGAAGAATTTAGTCCATGTACATTTAAAGTGATTATTGAAAGGTATGTGCTCATTGCTATTTTGTTCACTGTTTTTTGGTTATTTTTGTAGTTCCTCTTTGTTTCTTCTTTTCTCACTCTCTTCCTTGGTGGTTTGGTGACTTTCTTTAGTGGTATGCTTATAGTACTCTTTATTTTATGTACATTTATTATAGGTTTTTGCTTTGTGGTTCCCATGAGGCATATATATAACAATTTATACCTATAACAATTTATTTTTAGGTTGATAACAACTAAAATTTGTTATCTATCTATCTATTCTAAAGCTCAGCATTACTCTTCCCAACATATTTTATGTTTTCAATGTCACATTTTACACCTTTTTAGCTCATATTTTACATCTTTTTGCCTGTCTATCCCGTAACTAATTATTGTAATCATATTTATTTTTGCTAATTTTGTATTTTAACGTTCATACTAGCTTTATTTTATTATTTTTTATTCAAGTATAGTTGATGCACATATTGCATTAGTTTCAGGTATACAACATAGTTATTCAACAACTCTATACATTGTACTATGCTCACCACAAGTATATCTACCATCTGTCACCATGCAATGCTATTACAATACCATTGACTGTATTCCCTATGCTGTACCTTTTACGCCCATGATTTATTCAGTCTATAACTGGAAACCTGTATCTCCCACTCCCCCTTTTTTGATTTTGCCCATCCCTCACTCCCTTTCCCTCTGGCAACCATCAGTTTATTCTTTATAGGTCTGATTTTTCTTTTTGTTCATTTGTTTATTCATTTATTTTGTTTCTTAGATTCCATATATAAAGAAAACCATATGGAATTTGTTTCTCTGCCTGACTTATTTCACTTAGTATAATACTTTCTAGGTTTATCCATGTTATTGCAAATGGCAAGATATCATTTCTTTTTATGCTTGAGTTGTATTCCATCATTAATCACATATTCTTTATCCGTTCGTCTATCAATGGACACTTGAATTGTTACTAGATCTTGGTTATTTTTTTTTAAGTTTATTTTGAGAGAATGTGTATATGTGTGAGCAGGGAGAAAGAGAATCCCAAGCAGGCTCTATGCTCTCAGTATTGAGCCTGATGCAGGGCTCAATCTCATGAACCATGAGATCATGACCTGAGCTGAAATCAAGAGTTGGATGCTTAACTGACTGAGCTATGCAGGTGCCCCCAGATTTTGGTTATTGTATATAATGCTAAGTAAACATGCAAGTGCAGGTGTCTTTTTGAATTAGTTTTTTTTCTTTTCTTTGGGTTAATAGCCAGTAGTGGAATTACTAGATCATATGGTATTTCTATTTTTAATTTCTTAATGTTTATTTGAGAGAGAGAGAGAAACAGAGTGTAAGCTGGGGAGGAGCAGAGAGGGAGTCACAGAATCCGAAGCAGGTTCCAGGCCCTGAGCTGTCAGCACAGAGCCCATCTCAGGGCTTGAACCCACGAGCTGTGAGATCATGACCTGAGCTGAAGTTGGACACTCACCCAACAGAGTCACCCAGGTACTCCCTATTTTTAATTTTTTGAGTAACCTCCATATTGTTTTCCAAAATGGCTGTACCAATTTACATTCCCACAATCAGTGCACAAGGGCTCCTTTTTCTCTGGATCCTTGCTAACACTTGTTATTTCTCATCTTTTAGATTCTAGCCATCTGACAGGTGATCTCAAATTGTAGTTTTGACCTGCAAGCTTTATAAGCAATTAATCCACTAACTTTACTATATATTTATCTTCCAGTAAGATTTATTCTTTCCTTCGTATTTTGTTACTATTTAGTTCCCCAAATTTATTATACTCCCAGTCCAAAAGCAGAGGTTACTGCATGTCACACAGGATCACAGGGAAGCATCAGGTTTTAGGTGGCAGAAAGCAGAAGTAAGAAAAGAGCTATTCCCATGGCTTCTGTCAGAGTGCAAAAGGCAAAGAAGGATAGGTAAACCATTTAAGATGGTCTGGTTTGAGTAATTTCTGTGGTTTCTAAGCTATATAGATGTCTAGTACCTGGCTTGGAATGATTAAGGCAGAGGATTATGGCTTTCTGGGATGTACAAGACAAAGAAAAAGAGGTATCTGAACTGGCTAGTTTGCAAATGAAAGGCATGCTCTGGGATGAATATTTTGATATCTCTAAGAACTGGATACACCTGGGAGGGGCAGTGTCTCCCAACGAAGAAAGGGACTTTTTTTTTTTTAATTTTTATATGTTTTATTTACTTCTGAGAGAGATAGAGAGAGAGCGAGAGAGAGAGAGAGTGCGCACATGAACAGGGGAAGGTCAGAGAGAGAGGGAGATACAGAATCTGAAACAGGCTCCAGGCTCTGAGCCAGCTGTCAGCACAGAGCCTGACAGGGGCTCGAACCCATGAACTGTGAGATCATGACCTGAGCCGAAGTTGGACACTTAACTGACTGAGCCACCCAGGCACCACTTTTTTTTTTTTTTAATTTTTATATGTTTTAGAAAGGGACTTTTTAAAAAAGATGATAAAATGACATAATATCCAGAACCTAAAAAATATATACAATGACACATTGGAAAGGGAGAGAGACAGAGAAACAGAACCTACGGACCTAGGTGTTGGGAACATAAATTTGAACCTGAATCCTTGTGCTCCTGAAGCTCACCCTCTAGTGGGAGCAACAGAAAACAGATAACGAAGCAAGATATCCTTGGGTAGTGATGGGAACTTTGAAAACAGGAAAGCAGAGTCAGGCGCTAGAGCATACAGTAGGGGTGGGGAAGCCATTCCAATAAGGTGGTCAAAGAAGGTCTCTCTGAGGAGAAAGCATGGAGCAGAGACACACCTGATTGGAGGGAGAGCTCTGATACAGTCCCTGTCACAAATTAAAATAGAAATTTTATGTGTCCAGCCTAACAAGTAAAAACAAGCCTCATATTCTGTATACCTTTTCTACTTGTTATTCCCATAATTCATTTTTATTGTTTTACAAAAGAATTGGTTTATGATGGATCAGTCACTTAAAAAAAAAAAGGCCATTCCTTAAAGGCAGCTTGAGAAGCAATAATCTCTGGTGCAATTACAGGAGTGGGTGATTCAGGTAAGATGCAAGTCAAAATCACTGGAGGTAAGAGGCCAGGGGCTTGTGGCATCATTAAATTTAATCATTTAATACTGAAGTCACTAAGAATGGTGTCATACACAGGGTGGCAGTGATATCAGTGGGATCCTTTTTGTGTTTCAGCACCCTGGAGAAGCTGGTCCTGAGGATGGAGGCAGAGCTGAGGTTCCTTATGATCATGATATATGTGGGGTGTCTAGGTGGCTCAGTCGGTTAAGTGACTGACTTCGGCTCAGCTCATGATCTCATGGTTCATGGGTTCCAGCCCCATGTCAGGCTCTGTGCTGACAGCTCAGAGCCTAGAGCCTGCTTAGGATTCTGTGTCTCCCTCTCTCTGTGGCCCTCCCCCCTCATGCTCTGTCTCTGTCTCTGTTAAGAATTTTAAAAAAAGACATTAAAAAAAAAAAGATCATGATATCTGCTATTTCCCAAAGAAAACAGCATCCAAGTTAGCACAAAACTTGCAAAACCTTGTGCTTAGTCACCACTAAGGTCAGCCCTCCGTGCTTTCTCTAGGCTGTACTGCTCCCAAGAGCCAGCAAAGTGTCTGACTTCCGTCGAGGGGCTTGCCAAATAGACAGCCAATGGGTGCAAGCCCCAGCTGGTCTGTGATGGCAGGCTAACAGAATATGGATTCAAAGGCAACTCTCATAAGAGGAGGTGCCTGGAGTCTTTGGGAATATAAAGCCTAACCCCTCCAAATTGCGAGGCCAGGAGATAAGAATGGTGCCAGGGTTATGGAATGGGACACCTGGCTCTGGATGTGTGAGGACAACGTCAGGTAGCAATCTCTGATTTGGATGGAGCCAGTGGCATATGGCCACTGTCAGTCGGCACTAAGGGACGGGAGTTGAGGGGGAGATACCTGTATTACCCTATGAAGATGAGGGAGGCCTTGGGGTCTTCGTGGTGTAAGAGTCACTGAGACACACAAAACCTGGTCAGACATTTATTGGGGGCAGTGGAGCAGTTCTCCACCCTGTAGTACTTTTAGACTGATAGGATTTCAATATGGAACTCCGGCTGGTTGGGAGTGACTTCATATTGTGCCTGCAGAAGAGCACTGGTCTGGAATGCAAAGCAGTTCTTCGGGGCCTGGAAGATGCAGATAGCATTGCATATCCGGCAGTAACGTTGATGGTACTGCCACATGCGAACCCAGGACTGGAGCTTGACTGCCGCCTCCTCCTGGATTACATAGATCTTCAGCAGGTCCTGCCGCTGCTTAAGAATCCGCCTCCACAAGAGTGTTCTCCACCAGAGCTGAATCATCCAGGCCCTGAGGGCTGCCACCAGCAGGGTGCGACGCACCAGGGTGCCACGCCACCAGGCCTGGATCTTCTCAGCTGCCCTGACTCTTGCTCTGTGGCGTTTTTGACAAAGCTGCTAACCAAGCAAAGCAGAGGACTCCACATAAATTTGTTACAAACAACTACAAGTCTGGTGTCTACAATGAAGGAGCTCTGATCTTCTCTCATAACAACCAGCCTTTCCCCCTGGTGGTTCTGAGGACCCAGGAGTCCTGGGTGGGGTTTTGCCTCTACCTCTATCTTATCTGTGGCCATAGACACATCAGTTCATCCTCTGAGTCATAGTGTCCTCATCTACAAAATGGGGATATGCTTGCCCTGTGGTCTTCACAGGTTCTGTGGAAACAATTTCTGATCCAGAAGTCCTGCCATGAGCGTGAGGAACCAAAGGGTCCTCTGAGAAAGAACCTCTGCATTTATGGCCTGAATCTCAGCCCAAATTCCAGCCTATGATGCTGCCTCCTGACGCCTCACGTCATGCCATGGCCCCTTGAGGGCTTCCCTTTACCTCACTTCTTTTGATTTCCATTACTACCTCTCAGTCATCCCCATATCCTTCTAAACCCAGACCTTCCTTTCCCCAGCTTTCCAGTTCCCACTGCTGTGTGTCACCATCCAGTGGCTTGTCTACATCCTGATTCCTCACCTTTCTGCTGTCTCTCCATACTTAACACAGCTCACTCAGAATAGGGAGGGAATTTATGGGGATAGGAGAGCAACGCTGAGCTGACTTCTCAGTTGTGGGACCAGAGATGGATCCTTCACTTCCAAGGGCTCTGTCCTCAGAAGGTCAATGAACTGTGGTTTTCTCGTGCTCCTAGGCTCCACCTACCTTCTTCAGTCTCTCTCTCTCTTGTGCATCCTCATCTGGACCAGACTTCTGCAATAAGAATATAGAGAGAAACCATGAGTGAGGACCAGCCTCTGTGCAAAGTCCTCACAGCCTTACTTCCCCATTCTTTCCGAGGCCTTTAAAAAAATTTTTTTTTAAAGTTTATTTATTTGGGGCACCTAGGTGGCTCAGTTGGTTGAGTGGCCGACTTTGGCTCAGGTCATGATCTTGTGGTCCATGACCTGGACCCGAGTCAGGCTCCGTGCTGACAGCTTGGAGCCTGGAGTCTGCTTTAGGGAGGGAGGGGCAGAAAGATGGGGAGAGAGAATCCCAAGTAGGCTCCATGCTCAGTGTAGAGCCCGATCCTACACAGGGCTCAATCTCACAACCACGATATCATGACCTGAGCCCAAATCAAGGGTTGGACGCTTAATCAACTGAGACATCCAGGCATTCCTCTGAGTCCTTTTGAAGTCATCTGGTGCTTCCCTCTGCCATTGGCCAATTCCCTACCCGCAGGGAGAGGGTGTCTGTCTTACACAGCATTTACCGCCCATGGTTTGGGGCAGTGGTTCAGGTGTTCACACCCCCTCCAATTGCTGCTCCATTGGTCCTGGCAGAGACAGGAAGGGTGAGAGAGGAGGAGATAGCCATGATGTCACAGGGCAACTATGACCCAGGGACCAGGTTGCCTCTTTATTGGGTAAAGAGGAAACATCTGCTCATTTCCCTCCTGCCAGAGATGGACCAGTGTCCTTAGGGAAACCACAGCCTCTGTGAGTCTGTCCTATCCTAAGGATGACCTCTAGTCTTGCTCCCTCAAAGGACTGTCCTGTCATCATCACTAAGGAGAGCTGCTTAAGCAGTACAGAGAAATGTGCCTGGGCTCAGGATGTTCCCTGTGTCCTGCCTTATCTGCCTTCATGCCCTTCCTCAGTGTGTGGGAAAATCCTTCTTTTTTTTTTTTTAAATTCTTTTTTTTAATGTTTTTTATTTATTTCTAGGAGAGAGAGAGAGAGAGAGAGAGAGAGAGAGAGAGAGAGAAACAGGTTCCAGGCTCTGAGCTGGCAGTCAGCACAGAGCCCGACGTGGGGCTTGAACCCATGAACCGCGAGATCATGACCTAAGCGAAAGTCGGACGCCTAACCGACTAAGCCACCCAGGCGCCCCGGGAAAATCCTTCTTTTATTGAGAGTGACAGTGAGTATGGAGGGTGAGCAGAAGGGGCCAAGGATGGAGGTATCTCAGTCTATTTCTATTCCCCTCCAGGTGCTGAACCATTGTCTTTCTGTAGTTGTTTGGTGTCTAGCAAGCCAATATATGTTCCTTAACACAAAACAAGCCCTTCCATTCAGTGTCTGAAATTTACTGGGCTGGAGGAATTTTCCAAACATGAGTCATTATGTAAGAGATAGTGTTCCCCAGTGTAGAGTCCTCTAGTGGTGGCGATGGTCATATTTGAAAGAGTCACTTAGTTATTCAACCTTGCCTTCAAGACCAGCTGCCTCTAGCTGTCCCCACTGCCATCTCTCAGCCACGCTCGCTTTCTTCTCTTAACCGCCTCTGGATAGCCCCCTCCAAACCTCAGGGACATGCTGACATGGTCTCATCATTTCAAGGCATTAACTCTCCACCAAAAAAGAAGAGGATTTGTCTTTCTGCTCCATCCCCATCCCCCCAAAATCTCACTTTTCTCCCTTCGTCTTCCCAATTAGGTCACTTGCTGCCACTTAGGTTCCCAATGGCAATTTAGTGTTTATATTATCATGACTCTGTGAGTGCCACTGAACACTGTGCCACAGAGCACATTCTGGTTCCCTATCCTTTCCTGCACAGCTTCACAGTTTTTTTTTTATCATGAAATATTTAAATGTATACAAAATTTGACAACAGATAAGGACTCCCTATGTGCTCATGACCCAGCATAACCTGTTTCCCTGCTCTCTGCCCCACAGATGAGGTAAGCCATGGCAGGGAGTGCTGTGAGGAGCATCTTCCTGCATGTGTCTGTGCCTCCCTGGGAGGCATCCTCCAGGGAATGCACACGGGGGTGGCTTGCTGTGTCATGGGACAGGTGGCTCCTCCATGCTACTAAATACTGACAGACTGTTTTCCACAGTGGCAGCACCAATGCAACCTCTATCAATCATCTCCTAATTTTTGCCAAACTGAAAGATGTGAAGTGGTGTCACCTTGCTCTTTTAATTTGCATTTCTCTGACTAATGACTTGAGCAGAGCAGGATTCTTCAGGCTAAGTAACGGGGCTCCAGTCTTGACACAGACCCTTTCTGGCTGGATGCACCTGACCAAGTCTTTCAGTGGTGTCTGTTTCTTCCTGGGCAAAGTGAAGATAGCAACATGGTTCCTCTTCCAAGGAGCTGTTGTGGAGATTCATGAAGGTAAGGTCCTTGGAATGGCATCTGGTCCTAGTACTGCTCTGTGTCTTTCAGCTCTTACAATGATTTCATCTTGGTCTTCTGGCATTTCTGTGTAATTGTCTGGTCTAGTCCTTGGCCTATTTCTTCTATTGGATTCCCATCATCCTCTTGTATGACTTCCTTGGACAACCTTTTGTGGATAGATATATTGCAAATATCTTTTCCTAAACAATCATCTGCCAACTGACTTTTTTCATGGTGTCATTCATTGCACAGATATCATTCCATCCATTTCTCCCTTTATAATTGTGCTTTTGAAAATTTTTAAATTAGTACTTTCTCATTCAGGGTCACATATTTTCCTGTTAAATTCTGGTTTATGTCTGACACTGAAGTCTTCACCAAGTGACAGGAACATGATCCTGTATGTTAGGTCTCCCTCTTTCTTGGATTTAGTCCCTATTTTGGATAGAGCGCATGTTATGATAGTTTCCCAAGGAAAAGTGCATGGATATAAATATGTAGACATTTGCATGTCTGAAAATGATTTTTTTTCTACCTTCAAATCTGACTGATAGTATTGCTAAGTATGGAATTCTAGATTGAAAATAGTTTTCCCTCAAATTTGAGGAATTGGTTTAACTTTTCCTAGAGGTCTAATGTGACTCTGATTCCTTCATCCATATGATGTGACTTATTTTTTCCTCTCTGGAAGTTTTTAGGATCTTCTCCTCGTCCCTTATCTTTAGTTTTTAGGATGTTCTAAAATTATTGTTGTTTCAGTAAGTGATTACATAATGAAGGAATACATGAGTCCATGTAGGTCTTAGACTTAAAGTGTCTTCATAAGGGTTCAAATCCTACTCTCTAGAAACAACTGTCTTAATATCTCTGACCCAACCATCCCAGATCCCTCACACCCACTGGACATGTCGTTCTCAGCCTTTCTGATATGTTCCCCCACCCCCTGCCTCACTCATTGTATGGGGCACATTAGTTTATAAAATTTGTATTATCCAACTATGAGAAACTTTATGAGTTTTTAAAAAAATTTCTACCTTTTAGTTTTCTCTACTTAATACTTAGATAAGTCTTATTAGTCAGATGATAGATTGATCCTCTAATTTTCCAATATTTTCTACACTATTTTCTGATTTTGTCTTTTTATTCTACTTTTTGGGAAGATATTCCCCATTTTAAGAGTCTCAGCTTTCAAGAGCTCCTTCTTGTCTTTGGACTGTTCTTTTAAGGCACAGTATTCTTATTTCACTGATTTGTTATCTTTTATTAGGAATAGTAGTAACAGGGACATCAGGGTGGCTCAGTTAGTTAAACACCTGACTTTGGCTCAAGTCATGATCACATGGTTCACGGGTTCGAGCCCCACATCCGGCTCTGTGCTGACAGCTCAGAGCTTGGATCCTGCTTAGGGTTCTGTGTCTCCCTCTTTCTCTTCCCCTCCCTCCCTTGTGTTCTCTCTCAAATAAATAAACATTTAAAAAGGGAATAGTACTTATAATTGTTAGTTTGGTTTTTTAAACCTTTTTCTTCTGTTCCCAGTATGGTCTTTTTTCTTTTAAGTTCCCTTTTTCCTGTTTTTATCTCAGTCTCTCATGTTAATAACCTTTGGTTGTCTATTCATGTGTCTAAGCATGGCACTAAAATGCCAAAGGGAAGCTCAGAGTGCATGGGTGCGGCTTATTAACTGGTATCATTCAGTGTAGGTTAATAAGGTAGGGTTGGGTTTTGTTTCAGTGGGGAACCCCCAAAGTTAGCATTCATTTGTTTTACTCTTTGGAGATTGTGGTAGATTGCTTTCGTGGTATTACATTCATATTTTTTCCTGTGGGACTTTGTAGTTTCTTCCCACAAGGGGATAGAATCTATCTTCCTGTGCCTTGGGTTTGGCAGTGTGACATGCTGTGGTCAACAGAATAAGGTGGAATGATGACATGCAAGTTTGACCTTGGCTTTGAAAGTCTTTGCCAATTTATGTTTACCCTTTTGGACTTCTGCCATTGCCAACAAGGAAGTGCCTGGGGTAGGGATATGAGGAAGAGGATTGGAAACGTGGGACAGAGCTTCTCCAGCTAAGCTATCCCAGCTAACCATGGCCTAGATCAACATGCTTCCTGTTGCATGCCACTGAGGCTTGTGGCAGTTTGCTATGCAGCATTTGCGTAGCAATAATTGACTGATGCCCGAGAGAGGAATCCCAGAACCTTGAGTCAGAGAGTGGAATGAAACCTGACTGCAAGCCTTCAGGGAGGTGAGCTGGCACAGAGGGCTGGAGGCCTCACCGTCCAGCCTACACACTTTCATTTAATCCTTCCATTTTAGTATGGTGCTTCACCTCTGCCTTCAGCCATGACTGAAATTCTGGAGTCTAGGTCCTCCCTGGTTCAACTTATGCAGAAAAGAAACCTCTCTTCTGCCAGGGTGGAGAAGGGGCTATTGCCAGCTGTATATATGAAGGAGAAGAACAGGATGAAGGGAATCCAACAAATCCTTATTTAAATGTTTACTCCTCACCTTAGAGTCTTAGCAGTAGCTGGTGCCTCAATTACACACTGTTGTTATTACAATCTTTTGATGTATTTTCATGTGTCTTACCATACTCCTACCTCTAGTCTCTTTTTTTTCAAAATTGTCTTTACTAATTGTGGACA